CGGCTCCGAGGGAGCTCCGGGGGAGGGCAGAGCAACGCCAGCCACTCACAGGAACAGTAGTGAGAGCTCCCCGACACTTTAACTGTCAATCAGGCTTAATGGGGTATAAAAACTCCCCGGCGCCGCGGCTGTGATAGGCAGAGAGCGCAATAGGGAGAAATGAGTAAGAGTCAGCGCTGAAATAGGGTACGGCGTAATTCTTGCTCTCTGATCGCAGCTACTCCAAGTGAAAATAAAACAGGAGCGGGGGCAGAGGGAGGCGGTTATCAGCTCAACCTTTGCAACCGGCTCGGGACAGAACGTCTATAGATATTTATAGATATTAAAACAAAAACAACAACCTTACCCTGAATAGAGCCTTTCTTAAAAAGAAGGTCCTGGCAATTCTGTCTTATTTAAGCAATTTCCTGAGTCTAAGAATAGAAATGAGCTGCCTGGAAGGCGCTGCGGGCAGAAATTTGGAGACATAGGCTGCTTTATTTTCTTTTTCCAAGTATAAAAACCTTCCATTTGGATACTGGATTTTCATGTCGGTCTTTGAAGCAGAGGGGTATATGGTTACTTTTAATTTTGCTTTTTTTTCTCTCTCTCTTAATTTAAAAAAACTGTCTTCCAGTTAAAAAGCAAGGAAACCGTTTTACCTGCATGTGACAATCCCAGAGGACACCGATCAAGAAACAGGGGAGTGACTTGGTCTTCTGCACTACTTTACTCCTACCCCAGTTTTTTTAGGGGGAGAGAAGGATTGTTCCAGTCCAAGAATCTCTTGGCCCCAAGTTTTGGAAGGGGGTCGAAGACTTGTCACCCGTCTAGGGGTGCATGAAGGGTATTGGTTTTCTTTCTCTGTTAACTTGGTTTTGTGACGGGTTGGAAGAGAATTTTGCCTCCCTGACTTGCCTGGAACACGAGGATGATTTGGAAATGGCTGGGCGCGTTGCTGCTTTTCCCGGTGCAGATGGTTTATTTGGTGGTGAAAGCTGCCGTGTGCGTGGTGCTGCCGCCCAAGCTCCGAGACCTGTCCGGGGAGAATGTGCTCATCACGGGTGGGGGCCGAGGCATCGGCCGCCATCTGGCCAGGGAGTTTGCGAAGCGAGGAGCCAGAAAGGTGAGCAGCGGCACGAAGGGGAGGGGGGAGGAAGCTCCCACCTGCTGCTCTGCTGGGGAGTCCTCCAGCTCGGAGACTTAAAAGCCTTTTACCGCACCTCTAGGTGGGATTGCTGGGATGGCTTTTAAAAGGGGAGCGGGGGCACTAAGTCTGGAAAACCCTGGCGTGCTGAGCCATTGCTTTGACTTACCTTTCAGAAGTTGCCCACTCCTCCTTCCCTGCCTCCTGTCTCTCCCCATCTCATCTAAGAAGGGTGAGGAGGGGGCCCCCTCGTGAATTCTCCGCCGCTGACCAAGGAGAGGTTTTCGCTCCAGCCTAGGTTTCCTGTGCAGGCGGAGGAGAGCTATGCTACTCCCGTGCATTTCAGCTTGCTTGCAGCCTTTCCTTGAGCACATCTTTAAGCTCTCCTTAGGCACAGCCAGAGTGCCGCTGCCACGCGTGTCACCCCACAGGAGCGGCGCTTGATGCGGAAAGGGGCTAACGGCGTGTGCGGGAGGGCTCTGGCTCTTGGTCCTAAGAATGCATTCTCTCGGGAAAGCGGGGAGAAGAGTTCAGTTTCACCTCGCTGGTTTTCCATTTGCAGCATTAATTTCTTGTGCTTCCTGCAGTCCCTTGTATTTTGCTTTTTGCCAGCCCAGAGCTGTTCAAAGGTAAGATGAATGAGAACCCAGCACGGAAGAAAAGCACAACATGAGTAGGAGCTGTGAGATTGTTTGCACGTTTCCTTTAGGAAAGAGGGAAAGGGAGAGAGGCTGAGAGACTGGTCTGTTTGCACAACAGCCTAGAAATGCCAGTGTAGCTGGTGTGTCCATTCCCTAGCTCAGGAACTGGAGGTTTACCTTGAAACTTTGCGTTTTTGTGAATACAGGTGTCTCCATATGTGTGAATCAATCAGGAATCCAGAAAACACACACACCCTGAAACGAGGCTTGAGATTTAAAGTTTCCTCTCCCCCTTTATGGGTAATGAAGGGGAGGAATCGTGAAATTAGACAGCTGCATAAATACTTCTCCCTGTGAGAGGATGAATGAGAGCAAACAGAGAAGAAAAATAGAGAATGAGAGGATATTTAAAGCAAAATTTGCATTTATTTTGGGATAGTGTTTTGTCACTTCTCTACACATGCCTTACAGTTTTCTATGTGTGGTATAGAGCTCTTCTGGCATACAGCGTTGAGGTGTAAAATATGTCAGCATTGAACCTTGATGTTTGTATATGCTTGTGTTTAAACATCATGTTGAGATTTACAAATTCTTGGAGACAGAGCAAACAAGTTGACTGACCTTTGGACCCAAGCAATTTGCTGAAAGTGTATTTATATTATCTGTTAGAATACCATGCCTCATTATTTATTTATTTAGTCCGGCTGGTTGCTATGCTAAGCTCTGGTATTAAAGTACCACCATTTCTACAGCTAATTCAAGAGCTGCTTAGCTGCAGTTCAACTAGAAGCTGAGCAATGGCAGTCAGCCCTAATGAACCAGGTGACATGGACCAAAAGGAGAGGGATTTTAAGATATTTAAGATACAGAGCTGAGGATGAAATGACTGTAAACAGGTATAGGCTGTAGTTCATTTGTATATCTTATCTATAAAATCTCTACGTATCTTAGAAGGAAAGACTAAATGGGAACAACTGTTGGGAACCTTTAAACTTGTCTCATTATGATGTTGTGAAATGCTGTGTGGTTGCTAGTTACTGTTCAGAACTTTTGGGGTTTTTTTGCCTTATGGTTTCATTTCATGTCTGTCATCAAGGTGTTTCAGTTTTTGCTTTAACTGAATTTGAATTAGGTTCCCCTTTCAGTTACATCTTGGCTATGTAGTAAGTCAAGCAAGTTTTGATCCTCTCTGGTAGTGGCACTGCTTTTCTGCCTTTGTAAGCAGCACATTTTCCCTCCAACACTAAAATAGGCTTATTCTTTTCTTCCTTAACACAATTTTACCTAGATGTGGTAGTTTCCATACCCTTTGCTCTAAGATTTCATTTCTTTCCTGCCTTCTGCGCTCAGCCTAACTTTGTGAATTCAGTGCTGTTTCCATGTAGAATGCAAGACCTCTGTTTGGCACTACACTTTGATTTTATGCTTTGCCTTCAACAATCAAAAAGAAGTGAGAAAGATTTGAAGTGGCTAGCAAGTTGTCTTTCAATAAGGCTTATGAAAATTAACTATTTTTCTGTCATCTTCTTATGCAGTTTACCATTTTACAATTATGTTCAAAGCTTGATTGAACATAGTCAGAATCTGTTATAAATTATTATCAGATGGTGTCATCACAATATTCCAAGTTTAGAAAAACACTTCCACCAAAGGTGTGAAATTCTGAGGCCAAGCACAGCGTTACACAGAGGTGAACAGAAACGGTAACATACAGATTCAGATTCTAATAGTGGGTGTGCGATGTATCTTGAAAAAGTCATCACAGCGCTTGCGCACACAGACATAGTGGCGGAGTTTTGGAGGTAGGCGGCGATATATAACCATATTTTTGAGATTAGAATCTCCTGAAAGATAGGTTAATTGAGACTGTTAGCATGTGAAATGTCCTCTGATAATTGGACTGGGTTGGATTTATTTTCAGAGGCTGGTTTTGTTAATCACAAATGAGATGTCTCTGAGCGGTTTTCACCTAAGATGACAAGTATTGTATCTCACCAAGATTATGATTGTCACATCTGCAACTTTCTTGCCATAAAATTTGATCTTGCATTTCAAGCTATGGCAAGATGGCGAAAAATAGAGCAAAAAAGGGTTTATGCAAATGGAAATACAGTGTCTTCTGCTTGATAGATTACTATGGGGACTGAAAATCTCAGTCCAACAGAATGGAAATCTCTTGGCATCATCGTCTAAATCCATCCTGATTCCCATTCTCTACCCCCATTCTTTTAAGTCCATTGCTCTGCCACTGTGCCTCAAATATGACTTGGGCAGGTAAATGTCTAGGAGACATTTCCTTCTTAGATGATGTTTCTTTTCTCGTGGTTGTTCATTGGCCTCTGATGAAATGGCCAGTAAGGGGACAAAGCAGTGTCAGTTGTATTTTCAGTTACAGAAGTGTGTATCTTCTAGTTTTTTCAGTTAAGACTACCAGCAATTTTTAGACAAAGAGAGACTTTAACTGTTAGATCATCCCTGTTCAGGTGTATACTAAGAGGTCAAAGGATCCATACTCTGCTTTTACTTTCAGGTAGAAGTTTTCAAAAACTACTTGGTGGTGGGAGGCATTGTGTATTTAAATGCTTCCTGTAACACTTCTGGAAAAAGACAAAAGCATGTATATTTGCTGTATGCAGAGAAAGAGTGGTTTACAGATCATAGGGGACATGTTAGTGTTATTATGAGGGATGAATAGCATTGAATTTTCACCGGAAGTTCTCAAGTATTGTAATTTAACTTTCATGCTGTTCCCCAGAGATGTGTCCAGATTCAGAAGTGCTGGCTGAGGAGATACTTTGCTGCGGCTGAGTTGCTGAGGAAATGTACTTTTTTCCTTTTGGTCCCCTCTTGTTTGCTTGCAAAATTCAAAATTTTCACTATTGTTGGCTTTAACTCTTGAGAATTTTGGCCACACCTTAAAAGTATTTGACCAATAGAGCATCACCTCTGCCTCTGTCTCACACATTGGTAGCTTTGTTAAGGCTCTTAGCTTTTGGTACTCTGTGGTTAGCCAAAACGGCTGAGTATATCTGTGTTAATGAAACAAGAGAAGGAGAGATTTTTATGAGTTTATGATTTAATGCCTATGAAATAAAAATCCACTTTCAAAGCCTAATGGTGTTTTGCAAAGAACATACTGTATAATTGAGTTAATATTGGGAAGACTGGCCCCTTTGAACAATATTTCTTGTGTGGAAGAACAGCCCAGATGTGAGTAGTCAGGGCAGTGTAGGGGCTGAATGGGTTCATTCACTGGTGGTTAGAGTTGGAAAACGCTTCTGGTTTCCTCCAAGCTATTTGCTTTTCCTACAGCTTTTTCTGTTATAGTGCCTTTGCCAGAGAGTTGTCAGTCCCGGTTTTGATGATCTCCAGTGATGAAGTTTTGACTCGTATGTCTTTTGTATGTCATTTGTATGTCTTGCTCTTTGTTAGGTTTTCTTTTAGGGCATTTCCTTGATGTCTAAAAATTTCCCCTGCATTTTTAACTTACTTTGTTCCAAGATTATTTAATCTGAGATCTGATTGAACACGAAATAGATGCTTGGTTCTTAGGCATTCTGAATTATTAAATGTCACCAAAACCTAATAAAAGTAACTGAAAAACCTAGAATTATAGGATGGAAACGGATTCCGCAACTCTAGTATGTATTTTGGTATTCAAGGTTATCTGACAGTGACTTTGGAAGAGTTTCTTAGGCCTTTCTGTTAGGAGACTGGTCAAAAGCCATTGATTTTCATTAGATTTTTTATTTACAGTGAGGGCTCTGGGCTCAGAAATCACCAGTATGGATCTTCAGTAGCGTATCTCCAAGGGATCTTATACAGCAGTGCTTTTCTATGGTTCCTTTGGGATCATTTCTGTGATGCAGTTTCTTTCAAAGTATGTATATTTTGTCCTCCTATGTTTGCTTTTTTTTTTACTTTTTCCCTTTGTCCTCCAGCTGTGATATGTTTGCCTTTCTGGTAACTGTAGCTATTGATGAATGAACAAGAGGGCTTCTAGGGAACCAGGGGTGTTTTGGCATGAGAGATGTCTCCAAAATGCCAAATGGGTTATGGGCAGCCCTGGCCTTGTGTTAGTGTGACAGTACTGCAGAGAAGAGTTGAATGATTCCTATTAACCTGGTTGAGAGTTCTTTACATTCATCACTCTGCAAGAAATGACCTCGTAAATACACTGAAAGATCTCTCCTTTCACTGTGTTGTCCTTTGGACACTCACTTCCTGTATTGCTGGAGACTATGCGACTCAAAGGGTTTGCATGCTTGTGCAGCGGATGAGGTAAGCAGTCTGGAATACCAG